GCCCAGGACTTGGAGTTTGCTGTGAGCTGTAATGCCACGGCACTCTACCCAGGGGGACAGCTTGAGGCTCTGTCTCAAAAAAAAAACAAAAAACAAAAAACACACACACAAGAAGAATAATCCAGAAACTAATAAAAATGATATCTATAGGAAGTGAATAGGAAAGGGGTAAAGGAAATAGGAATAGGAGTAAGACTTCTTACTAAACTTTGTATTTAGTTTTTATTGTTTTAAATCTATTAATGTTTTGCAGATTTTAAAGTTATATTAAAGAGGATTAAAAATACCCCCTATGGGTGGTGCCTGTTGCTCAGTGGGTAGGGCGCCAGCCCCATATAACGAGGGTGGTGGGTTCAAACCCGGCTCTGGCCAAACTGCCACAAAAAAATAGCTGGGCGTTGTGGCAGGTGCCTATAGTCCCAGCTACTCAGGAGGCTGAGGTGAAAGAATCACCTAAGCCCAAGAGTTGGAGGTTGCTGTGAGCTGTGACACCATGGTACTCTACTGAGGGCAATAAAGTAAGACTCTGTCCCCCCCCCAAAAAAACCAAAACCCTATGCATTACTATGAAATTTTGGACTATGACTAGGTAGGACTTTCAATCTATTTCTCTTAGAAAAGGGGCAAGTGCGTTCTGTAAGAGTGAAAAGAAGAGTGAACGGAACATGTGATGACAAGAAGAGTCAGCTGCCTTCACGGAGCTTTCATTTTAGCCAGGGAAGAAAAATAAAGAAAAAGCCTAATAAAAAAGGAAACAGAACACGGGTAGGAAAAAAAACACTTGGGGGAGAAGGAATGCTATGAAGGAAGGTGTGGTGGTGGTGGCGGCAATTTAAAACAGGGCAGTCTGGGAGAGCTTCACTGACAGGTGACACTTCACTGAGAAAGTATAGGATAATCTACATTTGGGAAATCTGAGAAAGGATGTTCCAGGCAGAGGGAGCAGCTCATGCCAGGGCTTGGCAAACAGTAGGCAATCAGTAAGTACAAGATGAAAGAGAAAATGAAAGTATAAATTTACAAAACAAGTGAACTCTAGGCACTTTCTGTCAAGGGTCATCAAGACCACCCTCAGGTTGAATGATTTGTTAAGAAAGATTTCACAGAACTTAGAAAAACTGTCTTACTCACAGTCATGGCTTATAACAGCAAAGGAGGCAGATTAAAGTCAGCAAAGCGAAAAAATGCATAGATTAGAATTCAGGATAGATTGGGTGCAAGCTTTTAATTGTCACTTCACAGTGGAGTTTTACAGACAGTGCTTAATCTCCCAGCAATGTGTGTGACAATACATGAGAAGTGTTGCCAACCAGAAGGCTCATCTAAGTCTTGATGTCCAGGTTTTTATTGGTGTCAGTGAAGTAAGCACGTAATACTTACATGTCTCACTTTAGCTATGCAATCTCATTTCCCTTATCCTGTTTCCAGGTCAAACTGATAGTAGTATTGCACAGGGCCTCACATACAAAAGCAGGTATTCACTATAAATCACATTGTTTTTTTTTTTTGCAGGTTTTGGTTGCGGCTAGGTTTGATCCCACCACCTCCAGCATATGGGGCCGGTGCCCTACTCCTTTGAGCCACAGGCGCTGCCCATAAATCACATTGTTAACATGAACGATATGGCATGCCCAAGGTCTCAGACATACAAAACATTCCTATCAGTCTACACATTCCAAGGGCTCAGAGCTGATCTCCCAGGAGCCAGTCAAGGGCCAGTACTAAAGGCAGACTCTTCTTCAGAAACTGCAAGGTTTTTTTTTTTTTTTGAGACAGAGCCTCAAGCTATCCCCCTGGGTAGAGTGCCATGGCTTCACAGGTCATAGCAACCTCCAACTCCTGGGCTCAAACGAGTCTCCTGCCTCCACCTCCCAAGTAGCTGGGACCACAGGCGCCTGCCACAACGCCCGGCTATTTTTTGGTTGCAATTGTCATTGTTGTTTGGCAGGTCCGGGCTGGATTCGAACCTGCCACCTTAGGTGTATGTGGCTGGCGCCTTAGCCACTTGAGCCACAGGTGCCGAGCCAGAAAGTGCAAGGTTTAAGCAATCCAAACTTGCTGAGTTAAACTTTATAGCACATAGAAGTGTTTTCTGTTCTAGAGTTGGAGTCTTGCTATGCTGCCCAGGCTCGATGCAAACTTCTGGGCTCAAGTGATCCTTCCACTTTAGCCTCCTGAGAAGCTGGGACTATAGGCATGAGTCCCAGCTGCACAGAGAAGTTTTAATTTTAAAACATACATTGGTGGAGGAGAAAAAAAATTCAACTATAACTAGGGTTGACCTTTTCATATATGTTGCATTTAAAAACTTTAAATTATTAATATATCCCCAAGATAATATTTTCCTATTGATTTAATTTACTGATTACTTAGAAAGGTGCTGACTTTGAATAGTCAACAAATGTATATCAAATATCATAGTTAGAACATTTTCCTAGCATAAAAGAAGCTAAATTGATTTATTTTCCATTGTAAGTAGAAATATTGTTGTAATTTTCAAGAGTTTTAAGTTCCCTTTTATGTTAAATAGGTGTTAATGAAATAAAAAGAACTAATGAAATAATTCCAAAGCATCTGAATTAAAATAAATAATATACTCAATAACATACAGTTACCCTGTGGACCTCCTATGGATATCAAAATTCATAGAAGTTCAAGTCCCTGAAATAAAATGATGTAGTATTTGCATATAACCCATGTATATCCTCAGGTATGCTTTAAATCATTTCTAGATTACTTATAATACCTAATACAATATAAATGCTATGTAAATACTAGTTGTAAGGTATTGTTTAGGGAATAATGACAAGAAAAAAAATCTGTACATGTTCAGTACAGATGTAATTTTTTTCCTGAATATTTTCATTCAGAGGTTAGTTGATTCCACAGACACAGAACCCATGGGCTCAGCACCTGTGGCTCAAGCGGCTAAGACACCAGCCACATACACCTGAACTGAAGACACCAGCCACATACACCTGGTGGGTTCGAATCTAGCCTGGGCCTGCCAGACAATGGGCACAGAACCCAGGGGCTCAGCACCTGTGGTTCAAGTGGCTAAGACACCAGCCACATACATCTGAACCGAAGACACCAGCCACATACACCTGGTGGGTTCGAATCCAGCCTGGTCCTGCCAGACAATGACGGCTGCGACCAAAAAATAGCCGGGCGTTGTGGCGGGCGCCTGTAGTCCCAGATACTCGGGAAGCTGAGGCAGGAGACTCGCTTGAGCCCAGGAGTTGGAGGTTGCTGTGAGCTGTGATGCCATGGCACTCTACCCAGGG